CAAATGGCTAACTCCAAGTCTCCTGCAGAGCTGTTATTAAATAGTTCTCTGAATTGGCTGAGTATTTTGGCCTTGGCATCCAGTTCAGAGAAGTTGTTCTGGGTGTGTCTCTCTGTGTCTGAGCCCTTCTAACAAAAGGAGCTGTAAGGCAGGCAAGAACCAGTCAGAGAATTAATGAGCCAGTGTGTTTAATATATCTCCGGACTCCTTCTCTTCCTAACTGATCCTCTACTCTGCAAATAAAGGCAGCCACCTTTCACTAAAACACAGTGTGTAGTGCCTTCTAAGTGCCAGTGCTTATTAGTACTGACAATCTCTCCATCTTCTGTCTTCCTCTCTACAGGTCTTCAACATGCACACACACAATCACATGGTATAAGCCTTTTTGTCTTCAAACTTGTATATGGCCAATATTCTTAGAGTGTAACATGACTCTAGAAGGCAGAGATTCGACTCTTGATTTGAACTTAATAAATATGGATTCTGTTTATTCTACAACCAGAATCTTCCTCCCACCACCCAAGTTTCCCTGACTGAATGGGACACATCCCACATCTGATGAGCTCCAGTGGTTGTTTTCAAACCAGGGCAAAGAATTCATTGGTTCATAGTGAAATGAGAACAATTAAAGGGAGATGAAAATAATTCAATATAAAGGATTATAATTTTCTGATATTTATCTTTCAGAACACTTGCCTATTAAAATTTTTCCTTTTTCATGAAATGGAAATTCAAGCCAGTGTAGATGTAGCTCCCCTCACCCTCTGCCTTGTGCTTCTATCTCTAATTGGAGTCCTCATGATAGATTCTCTCCATAAACTAAACAGGACACAACAGAAACAAAAACAAACAAGAAAAACACTGAGCCTGAAATCTAGAAGTCTGGGAATCACCAGCTGCTATAACAGCAAGCAATTTCTTTGTAGGATTATTTCAAAGCAGTAAGTACTCTGTTGTGTTACTATGTAGAAAGGTGCTCGCAGTTTCTAACTTTAGAGCAGCACTTATGGTACAGGCTGAAAGGAGAAAGAACACTTCCTCAAATTTCTGAGGAAGGGACAGAAATCAGAATTCAAGAGGACTCCTCTTCCTCCTCCCCCCCAACCCCCTTCCTCCTCCTCCTCCCGTTCCTCCTCTTCCTGCTCCTCCTCTTCCTCTTCCTTTTCTTCCCCCTCCTCTTTTCCTCTTCCCCCTCCCACCCTCCTCCTCTTTTTCCTCCTCTTCCTCCTCCTCCTCCTCTTCCTCCTCCTCCTCCTCTTCCTCCTCCTCCTCCTCTTCCTCCTCCTCCTCCTCTTCCTCCTCCTCCTCCTCTTCCTCCTCCTCCTCCTCTTCCTCCTCCTCCTCCTCTTCCTCCTCCTCCTCCTTTTCCTCCTCCTCCTCCTCTCCCCGCCTCCTTCCAAGTCACCACATATTCCACAAGATCCAGTCTTTTCATATAGTAGTAGGCAGTTAAGCCCACGAAATGCTTCATTTCCCTTGATTCCAACAGGTCGAGATTTCCTATACACTGTGTGCACGCCCACACAGACCAAGTCCTCAGTGAGAGCTAATGGCAGCATTACCTGTGAGTGATTCATGGACCTCCTGAAGTTGGAGAGAAGGTGGAGGGAAGGTGGAGGGGAGCTCTGGTTGCCTAGCAGCCGAGTTCATTTCTGAGAAGCACAGTGCAGGGTCACTCTGGGAACTGTCATCTTTCCTAGGGAAGGTTACCCACCTGCACTGCAGACAACTGGAGCAGGCTCATTCCTATTTATAGCTGCTATTGTCCAAAAAGAAAACGGCTCACTAAAGACTATTTAAAACTAGTAACATTGTGGCTAGAACACAATCAGAGAGAGTTCAAAACTTAAATGACATTCTCCTCTTGTAAGCTCCATCTTTTGTTGAGATAAATGGATAGAACAGATACATAGTTTCAACTGAACTCCCATAAACCGTTGAGAGCTGCAGATAATCATTTCAAAGCTTATGCAAATGAGAAAAAATGTATGAGGGGCTGGAGAGGCGGCTCAGCAGTCAAGAGTACTGGCTGCTTTTGCAAAGGACCGGGTTCTGGTCCCAGCACCCACACTACTGGGATCCAATGCCCTCTTCTGGCCTCAGTGGACATTGCACGCATGAGTACATTTATACACAAGCGAGCAAAAAGCTCATATACATAAAGCAAAAATAAGTTTAAAATATTAAAAAAATAAAAAGATGAAGACAGTAAATATTTACATAGCTGGGAAAATAATTAATAGATAAATAAATAGATAACAAATGACTTCTTTTTAAAGCCAGTTTCATCTTTAGATCTAAATATATTATCTTAAACTTGGCATATAGCTATACTTAAAAGTTTGCTGAAAACACTGGATGAATAGAATAGTTACAAGCATCTTTGCTCAAGAAATAACCAACCCTATTCACCTTAACCCTTAGATACTACCAGAGAACATGCTGAGATAAAGGTTTTTGAAGCAAAATGTACTTTTTGCATTTTTCTCTTGATAGCATTGTTCCGTAATGTGTGCCTGTAAAAATAATTTTAGGAATATGAAATATTAAATTTAATTCTTTTTTAACTTAAAGAAGTGTTCTGTACCAAATACGTTTTTGCAAAATTTTTTTGTGTGTTTCAAAGTTATTTATTCAGATGAGCAAAGAAAAAATAATACTCTGTTCTCACCATCACCAATAATCAATGTTAATTTGGGGGGACAGAACTTTCAATTGACTGGTTAATGTATATATGTGTGTGTGTGTGTGTGTGTGTGTGTGTGTGTGTGTGTTCCTGCATGAGTTTATGTGTGCCACTTGTATGCAGATGCCTTGGAGACCAGAGAGCACTGGATCTGCTGAAGCTGAAATTATAGCGGTTGTGAGATGCCTGATGGGTGTGTTGGGAACCAAACCTGGACCCTCTGCAGTAGTATGCATTCTTAACTGCTGAGCTACCTTTACAGCCATAACTTTTGATTTTTTTCTGAATATTCATGGAGAAATCTGATGGTATATCTATCTATATACAAACAAGAAAAATTATGACATGTTTACTGATAAAGTCACTTATGATGGATTTAAAAAGCCAAAGAAGACTCAGAAAAAAACAAAACAAAACGATATTCTCCTAGTTTAAAAGTTTGAACATCACAAAGGTACGAATCTTCTCAAAATAATTCCCACTGTTTGTCAATTCCAATCAGTCATGCCCTGCTTTAACAGTCTCTAAAATTGACCTGGAAAAGCACGCCAGAGATAGTAGCCAAGATAATTTTGTAGACAGTAATGAAAGAAGCCTTTCTCCACCATGCATCAAAATGTCATATGGGTCATACAATTATCAAAAGAGTAGCTAACTGCAATTCACAAGTCAATTATGGGACCAACCCAGATGTCCAAGAATAGAGGGACAGAGAAAATATGGTGTATGTACTTGTAACAGAATGTTTTCCACCCTTAAAGAAGAACAAGGATGCATCACTTGCAGGAAAATGGATGCTGGAGATAAATTAAGTCAGTCTCAGAGACATAGATAGACTGCACATCCCGCCCCCGCATTTGTGGTTCATAGATTTTCTATGGATTCATAAAATCATATATGTGTATATGACATGAAAGCAGAAATCAAAGCTGACTAAGGGAGGGGGAATGGTCCAAAAAGGGAGGGCAAGGGGTGAGGAGAGGGGATATGCTCCAAGTCTAATATATACCTGTATGCAACACAGCACTGCGAGTAGGCAGTATACACAATGAAAATAACTGACTGACTAAGCAAATAAACTAAAAAAGAAAAGTATATGCTAACTGGCGTTGGATGCAAAAACCAAGCTAAAGTGCATCCTGCTGTAAATGGGTAGATCTGAGGATGACATCAGAAATCATCTGGATAGGTAGGAACTATGTAGTTAATGACAGGAAAACTAATCAATGGTTTGGAAACAATTCTTTAGTCTTCACCTTGCACTTCTCATTAAAATAAGATCCAAAGTCGAATATTAAAGAAACTGATGAGCACGGCTCAGCCCCTTCCTTGTTCACGGCCGCTCGGCAATGACTTCCTCTCAGCATTTGACTAGGGTTATTTCTTCACTGACTCCTCTTCTAACTAGACTGCTAGATCCCAAAAGCAGAGCATTGGGGCTGGGGAGATGGTAGAGTGATGAAGTGTGGACCTGAGCTTGGACTCCAGCCTCCACATAAAAAGCCAACATAGCTGTGCAGGTCTGTACACCTCGCCCTGTGGTGGCAGTGGAGATAGGGAGATCCCGGGGGCCAGCCAGCCCCTCTAGCAGCTATGTTAAGTTCCAGGTTTAGTGAGAGACCCTGTCTCAAAAAATAAGGTGGAGAGAGATAAAGAAAGCAGCTGATGTTGACCATTCCTAAACACATATACATGTATACACTACACACAACATACATACACAAATAAATATGTAAATTTTTTAAAAAGAGCCTGAATAGTCTTTATCTATACTTAAACATCAACACTACTGCTACCTTCATGAGCTATGGAAAGATGCACTTAAAATGTTGCTTTTTAAAAATTATATATACTATATGTATATACACACTTTAATCTGATTCATTAGAAACTAAACGTGGGGACAAAGTTTTATGCTTAAACTTCCTGCAGTTCAGCATGTAGAAATTTGATTTTGCAGCTACACTCTTTCCCACATGCCATTCTTTCCCACCCTAAATCTGCTGCCTGTGTCATCCTTTCTCCCAGTAGAATAATGTTACATTTTTCTGATGTGAGAACATCATGTTGAACCCCATCCATCTTCTCTCAGCTTGGGCGTCTTCATTTTTTGCATTAAGTCCTTCAGGGCTCTAAACACAGCATGTAGCACATACCTGGCTTCTTAGAGAGCTCCATGCATGACTGGATAATTATTTGCACTTCCAAAATAGCTGAAAGTGGCTTAAAAAGGGTAACACAGAACATGTCATTCTCTTTTGAAGGTCATAAACAGACACAGAGGAAGGAGGTGAGGATATAATTTTTGACCTACCAAGGGTTGGATCGTATTCCCAGATGAACCGCTTGGTCAGAAATCTCACAACAATAGCTGTGGAAGAAAAAGAGCAGCATGTCAAACAACTATGTCAACTTGCTGGAATTCGTATCCTTCTAAGGAAGGAGAAAAGGCACATATGTCACTATGCACATTTCGTATTTCCTTACTATACAAGCTCAGTGCACTTATCTACGTTTCCAACTTCATATTCTGGCCTAAAAACTTGACATTGTGTTTTAGTGGGTTACTGTACACAAATCAGCAGCTTAGATTCGTTCCTTTAGCCACAGGATTAAGAATAAATACCACAATGTGAAAAGGCAGACACAAAGTATCACAGTAGAGGTCTCCAGAGTTTGGATTATTAATAGAGATTGACAAAAGTGAGTGAAAATAAAAGTATAAGTTTTACTGTGATGAAAACATCACTAGTTGACACTTAATGATGTAAAAACCTAGCAATGAAAACTTGATGGTGTCATTAGGAAGTCCTTAAAACTCATGGGAAACTAACAATGAGGGCTGGCCATATGACTTGGTGGGGAAGGGTGCTGCACAGGGGTATGAGAACCTGAGTTTGGACCCAAGCATTCATGTAAAAAGAGCTGGATGTAGTCATGAGTGTGCTTGGAACCCCAGAGCTTAGGGAGCAGGCAGAGCCAAGAAGGTCACTGGAGCTTGCTGAATCAGCCTAACTCCAGGTTCAGTAAGAGACCCGGTCTCAAAGGAATATGGTAGAGTCTTGGGGAAGGACACCTGATGTCCTCCTCCATCTTCCAAATACAACCATGTGTGTGAATATGTCATACACACATATACAACACCCCACATACATACATACATACATACATACATACATACATAATACATACATTCATACATAAAAGTCACAGTGATGAAATACAGTGAGCGTCAGGTTCTGGAAATTGCTAAGCACTGTACTCAACTGTTCTCATTCCTAATTCCACCCCTAGGAGGCAGATATGATGGCTCTAATTTTCAAGTAAGAAAACAGGTTCTTAGAGGCTAACTGTTCAGCTGAGCTTGCCTAGTGATTAGTGGCTGGGTCAGGATTGAATCCAAGAAGTCTGTTTCAACACTGTATAATTTTTCCATTGGTCTAAACTCATTTTAAAGTCAAGGGCCATCTGGATATTTTGCTGGATTATGGGGTTGGAGAAGAGAAGTACAGGTGGGCTATGCTGCACACCTGTAGCCCCAGCACTGGGGAGGTTGAGTCAGGAAGATAGTGAGTGTGAGAATGGCTCGGGCTATGACTAACTAGCTTGGGCTACATAAGTAAAGCCTGTCTCAAAGCAAAGCATGCTTAAACAAGTGAGCACTATTGTCCTGAAAGTTGATCCACATGGTGGTTTCCTGCACTTAAAGTTCACAAGTTTTAAAACTTGAGAAAATTTTTGACAGAGGGTGTCATAGACACTAAAAATGGAGCAAAAATTTTGGATTCTGTTTCTGGAAAAACCTCACATGCACACCATTTGGCATATAATTGCAGCAGGGTCACCAGGTTTCTGAAGAGCCCTAATAGTCTGTTTGAAACCCCATGGAAATTAGCTAAAAAAAACACCATTTCTCTATTGGTTTAAAATATCAATTATTAGCGTATTTTTGCTTTAATAGAAATGCCTTGAATACAGTTGTCAATAGATACTCCCTAAAGGGACAAAGCTAACTCGTTTGTGGTTATGATCACTTTGTAGTCACTCTGAGGATCAGCAGAGCTAGATGCCTCTCCACTGGGGCCTCGTCAGAGAGGTCACAGTACACATTGCAACGTGGACTTTGTCAGCCTGACCACAGCCATACATAGCTTCACTGCTGGTGACCAGAGAGGGAAAATAACAATACTTTCTAATTGCAGAGTGCGAGACTGGATTCCAGGCAAGATCTCTGCAGAGCCTTAAGTAGTGGGGCCGCTGTCCTGTCAACCTTCCCACAGTGAGTTCACTTGGGGTTTCAGCAGGCCATCCTCAGTCTTTCAGTCTTCTCTTGAAAATAAGACTTCACTGTTAAAGTTGGTGTTTGCATGTATGAAGAAAGTACAGAGAGATACTTTTCTCTTTTAAAAAATAGCAATATGGACTGGAGAGATGGCTCAGTGGTTAAGAGCATCTGGCAAAGGACCCAGGTTTGAATCTTAACACTCACATGGTGGTTAACAACCATCCATAACTCCAGTTCCCAGGGATGCCACGCCCTCTTCTGACCTCCACCAGCATTGCACGACACAGGTGCACTTACACGAATACAGGCAATACACTCACACACATAAAATAATAATAAAAAATACCAATGTTAGCCAGGCACAGTGATGTACCCCTTAGATCTCAGCACTCATGAGGCAGAGGCATGCAGATCTCTGTGAGACTGCTCTACATATGGAGTTCAAGCCAGCCAGGGCTACACAGTGAAATCTTGGGTGTTTTTTAAATTTTGTTTTGTTTTGTTTTCAAAGTATTATTAGTGAATAGCTGCTCAGAGAATTTAAAGACTTCCATGTTAAAATATGTAATTTTAACTCTAAAGTTAAAATTTGTTAAAATACATAATTTTAAATTTAAAAGCCACAATCTAGAAAAATTATTTGTTATCTGTAAGGAATGACCTATTCAAGTGAGCTACATTTAAAAAATACAACCAATGTTTCTGGTTCCAAAACCACTTGAAATGTAATCATCTCTCAAAACATTTCTGAAACATATTAGGCACTCTATTGCCTTTCAAAATCAAATATACTGAATATAATTGTGTCATTTTAAGATGTCTGGATCTTGGTTAAGAACCTTGATTAGTGGTCTGGGCAGTTATATGGAAATGTTTTTTTTTTGAAGCTATAAGGTAGATGTGCAAAAGAAATTGAGAATGTTCTCATTTTTGAGTGTTTAAGTGTTTGGAATATGTGTATATGGATTTTTTTCACATACTGTGACCTTTGGCTATGGTCACTGAAGCTATCCCTAAAGACCCACTGTGGCTGTATGTGGTTACTTTTATTACAGCAAAGACCTGTGAGCCATACTGACATATTACTATTTTGTGCAGTATTTGGGGGAATTTAGATGTGGGACTAACTGAAGGAACTTCCTATATTTATAAAAGCACAAATTGGGCTGGCTAGATGGCTCAGTGGGTAAAAGAGCTTGCGGCACAAACCTGATGATCCGAGTCTGATCCTCGGATACCATAGTGGAAAGAGAGAAATAACTCTGAGAATCATCCTCTGATACTCACATGTACACTATGACATGAGCACGCCCACATTCATACACAAACATCACAGACATACATATACAATAATAAGCACAAATTATTAAAAATACAACTTGAGTCTGCTTTCAAGCCATCCCTCTGGGATCCTGGCTCAGTTCCCATTGCCAACTACAGAGTAACCTCCTTCCATCAAAACAGCACTGCTGGGCTTAATCCAAGCAACCAGTCAAACAGCTTCAATATTCATTTTAAAGAAATGCATGAAAGTTAAAATGGTTATTTTAAATTTTTTTATTTTTTGAGAATTTCATAATGAGGTCTGTACTTAGATCATTTCCTCTCTTCATCCTCCAACCCTTCTCTTATCCCTCACTCCTCAGTTTCATAATTTTTCTATTTATTATATATTTATATAATATTTATATATCTGTTATATATAAATTATATGTATATATACACACACATACATATATGTATGTGTGTTTGTACAACCTACTGGGGTTTCAGAAAGTTGAGCTCCCTGTTAGGTTCTCCAATCCCAAGTGGTCACTCCCAAACATTGTATAAGTGATTATTATTTATTTATTTTGCTGTTTTTGAGGCAGGGTTTCCCTGTAACCCCAGCTGATCTGAAACTCACTATGTAGACCAGGCTGGCCTCGATCTCACAGAGATTTTCCTGCTTCTGCCTTCTGAGTGTTAGAGTTAAAGACATGTATCACCACACCCAGTGACACAATAGAATCATGCATTTAAAAAACACAAGTCTATTTTAAATTAATCTAAAAAATACTTTGAAACATTGACATTGGCTATGTATTCTTTGGAGATATGTTTTCATGTTTTTTTTGCATAATCTATAAGAAAAAACAGATGGCTATATATTTAGGTGTGTATTTCTATAATATTTTAATTTAATTAACATAAAGGATAAAAATAATTTTACATTGGTGAATGTGTTATTAAATTGCGTCTCTAAGATGCTTCAGTAATATTCACCACTTATCAATTTCTATTGCAAATTTCATTATGGACTATGATTTCCACATACGTATTGTACCACACCAGCCCCACACCTACACGGCTCACCCCTACTTCATCTATGGCAGTACAATTGCTTCCTTAGTGTTTGGATGCCTCTCTGCAGCTGAGCAACCTCTCTATGCTAAGATTCAATATAGCCCATCACATATCACCCTTGCCCCACCTTCTCGCTGACCTCATCACTTTGCTCTGACCCTTACTCAGTGCCTGCTCAATGCCCACATCTGCTGTATTTGGAAACTTCCAGCTGCCAATTCAGATTAGAATCCCTGACCTTCTGACTTTCCAGGAAGAAAGATATTAAAAATTCAAATGATAACAAGTGTACGGTACGCAAGAGATGATGGATGCTCAAGGATAAAACAGTAAGTTTGGGAGGATTTGGCGTTGATGGATGAGGGCGAAGGCTGATATTTAAGGGTGTGGACAGGATAATCCTCTTTATCTGAAAGGTATGAGGGAAGATATCTTAAGGAATGTTCCAGGCTGAGGGAAGAGCAAGTGCAAAGGCCCTAAGACAGGGAAATAAGCTTGGCACACTCCAGGAACAGGAATCAGGCCAGTGCGACTAAGGCAGAAGGAGTAACAAACGGTGAGTGTGGCTGGAGGTGAGGCGATTTCTCATCACTGTCTCATTGTGCTTCTCAAACACTACTGCTCATGAGAGCTGCTTACTTATAGCCATTCTTAGCACAATCTAGTATCAGGAACAGAACAACTGAGATCCTAATGTATCATCATCATCATCATCATCAACATCATTATCATCATCATCA